TGTTTTGCTCCTTTTCATTTTTGCTAGTTTTTTTCTAAATCTGTTTCTGTTGACAGAATATGCTAAACTTATCATCAGTAGTGCTTTAGAGAGTTGAGCAGCTTTCTTGATTACCCTTGCATTGTACACCACTTTAAAGAATGTGATTAGTTTCTGTGTTACTTTCTTCATAGCTTAATCTCCTGTAGATACTAAATATTGTCTATCAGGCTTCAGTGCTCTTAAAAGCCCCATGGAATATGTTCCATGTTTAAAAACTAAAGTGGAAAGCAAAAAGATGACCAGACACGTCATAGGTGAGAATCTGAGTTTTTTTCTTTATGCAGCAGAAGTCTGTTGAAAACCAGAAATTGAACCCAGAAATTGAAAACCAGTAATTGTCTAATTACGAGTCAATCTTTTCTACCTATTTTCTTCATGCAATAGCTAGAATTTTTTGTATTTTCTACAGGTAGAAGAAATGAATGCTAATCCATTTTTTGCCTGTGAGACAAAGGATGGAAAAAATTGATGTAGTTGGCAGTTGAAGGGAGTAGAATGTCTCTGCTTGCACTTGAGCTACATAAAATAGAGATAATATGTTTCTGACTCGGGAGCATTTTACATGGCCTTTCCACTAGAGCAAATGAATACTAAAGATATTTGGCAATACAGAAAGAACTGTCTGTAATTATAGCAGATGATAGTTTTTGAATTATTTCATAGCAAGATGCCCATAGAATTCAAGGTGGAATAATAACTCAATAATCTTTAGGATTTAGTGCAAAATTGAATCTTAAGGTGTACAAAACCAGTACACCAATTTTTAAGTATTTCTTCTGTATGATTATCATTATAAAGAAATAAGGCAAAATTCTCTATAAAAAAAAAGAATAGTAGTGTCTTGAGCTCTCTTGCATTTTTCTTGGAAATTTACGATTGGATACATGGGTGTTTTAGAGAGGCTAAACTGTATGTGCCAGCATCATGAGCCTATACATTTTTATTTCATATTCAGAGGACCCAAATACAGGGTTCAAGACAATGCTTTCATCTTCTGTGTTCCTAGAATCTCAGGCCTACGTTGTGAAAATATTATATATATTAATTGCTAGAAAATGGTATGAATAGCATTGCTTCCCCCATTCACTCAGGCTTGTATATCAAATGTTCTTTAAAAGCAAAGCTATATAAAGTGGCATCACAGAGTCACAGAATATCTCAAGTTAGAAGGGACCCCTAAGGATCATTGAGTCCAATGTCCTGCTCTTCTCACACAAAGATGATTCAGGAGGAATTCAAATATGTAGTCATTAATTGTAATTTGTTAACTTGTTAAAATTCCAGTGCTGGAGAATTAATCGATACCAAACACGAAGTGCTGATGTGGTGTGGGAGCACTTTGTGCATCTCTTGCTCTGCCTGTCAGGTCCTCCTCTGTGAGCCTGCAGGGAGTGCGGTGTAATGCATCTCTCTGAGGCACCGGATCCTGACATGTTTTTTTCCAGTGAAACACCCAATACTGATGTTGGTGCCTGTGTTTGTACTGGTTATGGGCAAGGCTATGTGGTAGTTTTACCCTAAGCTGCACTGTACATACCTGTAAGAGAATTTCACCTATGAGAGAACTATAAGGGAGTTTCATCTTAGAATGAAATTCTGTTCTAATTGACGAGTTCTTTAAATACCCTTCATTTGCTTATGTCTCATACATTTCAAATTTGAATTAAAACTTAAAACAGTGGTATGGTTTGTGTATAGACATATATTTTTATAGCTGTGTGAATTTGGAGGCTTTTTGGCTTCTCTTTTTCATCTGTTCCACTGTTATTTGAAGGATTTATTCTCCTGATGCCATGTACTGCAACTCCTCGCATGTAGGATAATTCTGTCCTTTTTACAAGGTTCACTTTTGAGGGAGTAAAATACTTAACTCCTAACCAAATGCCAGCCTCTGTGTTAAGACTAAATGATTACTGGCTTTTACAGTATTAACCTTGTACAGCCTAAAAAGAGAATAATGAGGCTGTAAGTCAACATAGGAAGTTCCACAGCTGTTAATTTATCTACTCTGCTAATGCTTACAAAGATTTTTACTACGTGCCCTCATTGTAAAAGGCAGTAAATATCATTAGATTCATAGAAAAAAAAAACAACCAAGAACAACTGCATAGATTTAAAAATGTGATTTAAACAAGCTGTAATCTATAGAGATGAAGCGAGTTAGGCGATCAATAAAATCTCAACTTTTGATGCACTATACAATTTGCACAGGTTAGTAACTAATGGACCGCCTTGCTCAAGCAGTATGTGTAACATGGTTTTAAAGTGAATGTGAGAGTTACTAGCTCGTGGTGTCAGAGGACAGCTGTACCATGACCACCAAAGCTTGGTAATTAAATGTTATACAGGTTAATTGCAGAGACAAACAGGAAACTGGAGTTAAAGGACTGAAAGGAATCAGTTGAATAGTGATGTCCATCTGTGGAGGAGGAAGAGGAAAGTAATTATAAACACAGCTTTATCAGCATACAATAATTACAGATTAAGTGATGATTAAAGCCTTATTTTAAGGTTATAATAATAAGGATATAACGAAAAGCAAAAGAGAGAGTTTGGAGCCAGTTGAAATTGTTGTCAGATAAATCTGAAGAGGTTCCCAATCCAATTGGTTTAACCTGCAGCCATGGCAAATTACACATCTGAGGGTACAAAAATGACTGATGCAATGTGAGAGGCTAATGTATAAATTCAGCATATCATATCACTTTGTCTCCATGGCTCAATTTTATCACAGCTCAAAGGTTTTGATCAGTATTTAGTGGGAAGGATAGTAACCCACCTTAGTAATTGTTCTTCATATGGTTTATAATCTTTATAGCTTACTGCCACATAGAAAAAAGCAGAGCACTCAGACATGTGCTTAAGTGCTGTGCTGAATAAGAATTCTAATATATCACTCTGAATGTACACCTGAAAAAAGTAAAAACAGTACTACCATAAAAGATAAAATGTTGTATCTTTATCCTCTTCTTGAGGAAAGGGGAAGCACACATGGCAAATGCTGTTCGTGTTGCTGCATGAATTACTCAGCTTCTCTGATGACAAGGGTGACTATGAGATCCTAAGCAAAAGAGTAATATAATAAAAGTGATGCAGTCTATGAAATCCTTCCCATGGAGGTGTAAGCAGAAGAGAAGAATAAGAAAGAGTTTTTATGGGTAATTTACATAAAATTTTTCAATATCCACTTGGGCAGGAACACAAGGTTTGGTTACGAAAAAAATGGTTCTTTTTATGTTTCCATACATTACTTTCTCCTCTGGCATCCTGCTGTTGTTCAAGATGTAACCAGAGGGTACCAATTTGACTTTTAGAAGGGAATGAGGAGGAAACAAGCAGTACAATGACTTTATTCTGATGCCTAAATTATGGAATTAAAATGGAATTTGTTGGTGTTTTTCTGTACTTCATTGCTACCATAGTTGTTGAAGACCTTTGCTTTAACGCCGTAACAGATCCTGTGTTCATTTATGAATGTCCTGTTAAATTCACCTTGCTTTTGCCTCTGTTGTTTTTGTTTATGATTGTATTTTATTTCGTTCACAGGGTTGTTTCCCGCCGTGCTGAACCTGGCTACTAATGCTCTCATCACAACCAATGCTACCTGTGGAGAAAAGGGTCGGGAAATGTACTGCAAACTTGTTGAACATGTGCCTGGGCAGCCTGCAAGGAACCCTCAGTGCCGTATTTGTGATCAAAGGAGCAGGGTACCACATCGTACGTGTGCTGCTTTCATATTATTCCTTTAAAAAGGCCTGATAACTATGAAATGTCTGTCTCTTCTTTTTAACTTAGGCTACCTGTCTCCTTCATTGGTATTTCAAAATCTGTATCTGTTATGTTTACTCCTCAAACCAAACTTTCTAATTCAGATCCTTAAAGTGGAGGACCTGAATTCAGCTTTAGGAAAATTAAGTATCTACAGCTGTTGTTGATTTCTTCTGATATATACTGACCATGAATGAAAAACAGATGACTTTTACCTGCATTACCTATATGTGGAATTTTAACATTTTAGCCAATCTAAGCGTATTTGATTTCATGGCAAGGTTTTGGTAGCGGGCAGGCTACAGGGGTGGCTTCTGTCAGAAGTTGCTGGGAGGTGGTTTACCTGTGTCTGATAGAGCCAGTGCCAGCCAGCTCCAAGATGGACCCACTGCTGGCCAAGGCCAAGCCCATCAGCAACAGTGGTAGCACCTCTGAAATAACGTATTTAAGAAGAGCAGGGAAAAACCCCAAGGAGTTGAAGAGAGGAGTGAGAATATGTGAGAGAAACAACTCTGCAGATACCAAGATCAGTGAAGAAGAAGAAGAAGGAGGAGGTGTTCCAGATGCCAGAGCAGAGATTCCCCTGCAGCCCATGATGAAGACCATGGAGAGGCAGGCTGTCCTCCTGCAGCCCATGGAGGTCAATGGTGGAGCAAATGTTCACCTGCAGCCTATGGAGGCTGGAGCAGGTGGATGCCTGAAGGCAGCTCTGACCCCATGGGGAATCAGTGCTGGAACAGGGTCCTGGCAGGACCTGTAGCCCCATGGAGACAGGAACCGGTGCTGGAGCTGATTTCCTGAAAGGATTTGTGACCATGCGGGGGACATGTACTGGAGCAGTCTGTTCCTGTGGGACTGCACCCTGCGGAAGGCACCTATGCTGGGGCAGTTCATGAAGAACTGCAGCCCGTGGGAAGGACTCACGTTGGAGAAGTTCGTGGAGGACTGTCTCCTGTGGGTAATTGCTGAGTGATTTCTCCCTGACTTGATCTTGACCCACAAGACTTTCTTTATATTTTCTCTCCCCTGTTCAGTAGAGGAGGGGAGAGATAGATTGGCTTTAATGGCCACTTGGCGTCCAGCCTTGGTCAACCCACCACACTAAACAACATCTGAAATGTCACTGTAATACTGAGTTCAGTTTTATTTTATTGTGCTCTGGGACAATTTCCTTTTTTGTTTGATTTTAATTCAATTTCACTGAACCAGCAAAAATAAGATAATGGAGCACTGCTTTATTTAATTGCTTCGTTTTCATATTAAGATTGATCTTTGCTAACACTGCTTTCTTAAAACGTACCCAGAAGCAAAATCAGTTTTCAAGAAAAAAATTGTTATCATCTGCTTCAGAGATGTATGTTTCTAATACTTGGGAAGATTAGAACTAAGAAAATCTCTTAGTCAAGTCATACAAGTTAAATTTCACGTGACCTTGCAGTAAAAGACATGAATAGCATTAATGTTTTTAAAGTTTTGTGGGTATATTGGCAGTGTAGATGGTAGAGGGTGAAGAGACACTTAAGACAACTTTTAATGGAATAGATAAAATATTGGAAGAAGCACGGCCACAGAGACATGAGTACGATTTCTCTTTTTTCCCAAATGTTTCCTCTAAAACCTAGCTCAGATATATTTATACCTCATGATAAAGCACATTTAAGCACGTGCTTAAAGAAAAAAGACATTTAATCTGTCTGCAAGTTCTAAACTAGAAGAGTTGTCTATGTCTGTAGCTTTCCAGACAGAAGCTTGTTTAGGTTCTCTTTAGAACTTCCTTCCAGGATCACGCTTCCTTACTTTACTGTTTTCAAAGACTTTTCCTAATAGGTAATCTAGACCTTCCTTGCAGAAATTCATGTTACTTTTTTCTAACTTCAATCAATATAAGGAATGGATTATTCCCTTTTTGCCTTACAAAAGTGTTTTACTTAATGGAGAGTTGATGGTATTGCTCTGTCTGGTTTCTGCACGAGACTTTTTTTTTTTCATTCTTATAGGCTGCATTTTCTAGGACTCTTAGCTGTGAACATTGCGGTTCTCTGAATTCTCTCTAGAGGTTTTCATCTTTATTAAAATCCACCTGATCTCTTACCAGTACTGAATAGAGATGCAGGTTACTGAATAGAGATGCAGGTTTGCTTCAGAATGAACAGAATATATTTTTGTTTATATGTTTTACTTAGATATTTCCCCTTCTTAATGGTGTTATGCCACTGAGAGATGGAAAGCCAGTTGTCCATTATAACCCCCAGATGCTTTCCTGCTAAATGGCTACCTGTCCATTTGCTCCCCATCTTGTATTTCCAAAGCTAATTATAACTGTCCCAGTATAAACTGCTTCATTTGTCTGAACACAGTTGCAGCTTATTTTTTTTCCTAAGATGGTTTTCCAAGTTGTGATGTCTCCTTTAACTGTAGTAGATGCCACCTTCTGGGGAAAGGTCATACAATTTTGTAGCCATGTAAGCATTTAAATAAGGAATATTTCACTCAGAGTAGATTTCAGGATGTTCTGGAATCATTCCAACTGGCAGAAAACAGTGTGCAATAGATTCTTTCACTTCTTTATAGATGGACATTTGGAGATGCATGCATATCATACAAGTTTTTTTCCACGTCAAGGTTGTTTAATTCAAATATCTTACCTAAAACAGAGGTGGATTGGTTTGTTCCTATGGCCTACCTATGAAATCAGATAGTATACGCTAATGTACGTGTATATACAAAGATGCACATACGTATATATATTAATCCCATCTGAACTATTTATATCTGTGTTCACCCTCACTCTTACCCTCTCAAAAACTTGAATCTGCCCTGCTTCTCATTGTCTGGACTTTTGTTGCCAACCACATCTCATTTTAAGGTTTTAAAATGTTCATTTGGCAGAAGGAAGTGTCTTATTTAAACAAAGATGGTTCATTAATAGGAGATCCATGTAATGTAACCAGACTTTAAATGATCCCCCTGGAATGTGCGAGTCTGGAGTATCTCCCCTTAATTACCGTCGGAGGAAATGAACACAAATTCCCTGGTTAATCACATGCGAGCCCAAATTAAAGAGCACAGTTTGATGGGCTCACCATTTAAATTCTCCCCCTTGCAATTCATCAGGGAGATTGGTCCTTGAAATGCACTTGCAAATACTATATTATTTTCCCTTACCTTTTAAATAGCAAAACATGCCAGCAATTAATCACTCTTTTCAAATTAATTATGATTAAACTTTCATAATGGCGATTCCTGCTAATTGTTGATTCATCTCCCAACACTCCTTCTCAAGATTTAACTTTGTATCAATTTCATCTGAAGAGACGTATCAAAATTTCCAATTAGACAGCTTCTGTCACAGTCACCGAGAAGCTCTGAGTTTGATTTACAGGTGACTTTTGCTAGCACTCATTTAAAACCAAGCTTTGTGAAAATGATCAGAACTGTGGGAACTGACATGAGCATGGGTGTGTTTTGCTGTTCTCTTTAATGTAAAGATAGAACTGCTAATAACATCACCTGTAGCACCAGTATTCTAATTTGCAAATGTTAGTACTCACTAATGCCACTAAATAATCTGATATTTAAATGAAATTTTTGACTTTTTCAATTTGAGGGCTTATGTCTTCCCCCAGTCCCACAAAGCACTTCAGTTGTATCTTTAAATATGTTCAGACGTGCCGGCTTTCCTTACGGAGCTAGGACTCTTGTTCCCCACAGGCGGGTAATGTAGCAGAAACCACAATGACTGTGAATCTAGCTGGTTAATTTAAGTAGTAATTGAAATAACAAGTAAATTAATCAATTAATTATTTGCAATTCTAGGAATAGCTAGCAATGAAGCATATTCCAGTTTTATATCAAGAAAACCTATTGGTTTAGAAAGCCATCCTATCTTGTTACGTTCTTGGAGACAGACCTTGCATAGAAGAAACCTACTGTATTTGAATTTCCTTTGGGTTATTTTCCCCATAATGTACAGGCTTGCTGTGGGCAATTAGGGACTTTAGAACATAAATCCATGTACCTTTTAAAAATGAGGTTATGTTATTCTCCATTTTGTAGAGGAGAGAAACATAAATTGACCACAAAAAGTAACCTGGAAATGTTGAGTGCATTTTATTCTCAGTCTAAATAACATTAAAATGCTATATAAGCAAACTTCAGTAATTTAGAATATCTTAAAATCGAGGAAGAATCAATTCTGTAAATAAATTTTTATCCCATTTTTTTTAGATTCCTTTGGGATACTGCAGGAGAATAAATGTAGAAAAGTAAAATATCTTGAACTTTGATATGAATTATAACCAAGCAGACCTTCTTTATATGCATGTATGTGAGTCAGACAATTTTCCAGCTGAGAAATATATTCTGTAATGATTTCTGAATAATTTCTGAAATTATTTCCCTATGTGCTTAGAAATGTCTCAGAAATGCGAGTACCAATATTGTTTTAATCTCTACTTTCCTTACACACTGTATCTCAGGTTCCTGATTTGTTGTTTCTATTGCAACATTTAAAGACTTTACAGTACTCGAAACTTTGGAGGACTGCAGTAAATATTCACTTCCTTTAGTTTCCTACTTTTTCTGTGGAATCAAGAAAGCCTTCCAGTGCTTTTAGGTGTTCTGTATCACATTGTGATGGTAACCAAAATTAAATAACTAGCTTGAGATGAGTATTTTAGTAATAATAAGCATGACTGTGCCCCAAGAGTAAAAGAAAAAAATTTCTGGGTTTTATTTTAAAGCACTACCTGCCTCATTAGTTCTGTAACTGTATTACATCTATATTTTAGGTCTAAAAACATTTAAATATCCTAACTGTTTTCAAATATGTTTATATATTTCTGCTGTTCTAACAGAACGACATCCAATAACAAATGCCATTGATGGCAAGAACACTTGGTGGCAAAGCCCTAGTATCCAGAATGGAATTGAATATCATTATGTGACCATTACATTGGACCTCCAACAGGTAAACTTCTGTTTCTTTGTTTCTGCAAAGGCTTTCTTTTTCACACAAGAGATCTCCAGGATTACTTTTTCTTTGCTGTATGTTGCTTTTATATTATGAAGATACACTCAATTTATCCTGTAACTTTCTGTTCATAGAATCATAGAACATTTTCAGCTGGAAGAGACCTTCAAGACCATCGAGTCCAACCCTTGTCCTAGCCCTATCAAGACCACTATACCATGTCCCACAGCACAACATCCACCCATCACTTAAACCCCTCCAGGGACAGTGACTCAACCCCCTCCCTGGGCAGCCTGTTCCAATGGCTGACAACCATCTCAGTGAAGAAATTCTTCCTCATATCCAACCTGAACCTCCCCTGGAGCAACTTAAGGCCATTTCCCCTTGTCCTATGACTCACCACTAGGGAGAACAGACCAACCCTCACCTCACTACAACCTCTTTTAAGGTAGTTGTAGAGAGCAATAAGGTTTCCCCTCAGTCTCCTCTAAATACTAAAAATACTTAAATACACTAAAAATAGTTCAGCTGTGATAGGGATACCTGTACATGTGATAGGTTATTTTGAGGAACAAACTGGGTAAAGGGATGAGTTTGACTAATGAGACCCTTAGATAAATTTCCTCCTACTATTGGAATCTTGCTACATAGAGTGCAGTTATTCGATGCTTATGAAAATGCTACATATATTCCAGGTATGTAAGCATGAGGATTTCAGGGCCGTTGGGAAATAATTTAATTTTTACTATGCCAAGATACATGGAGAGCAATTATCTGGTACAAAATCTATCATGTTATTAAATTTGACAGTTTTGGTATTCAATTATGTAGTTAATAAATTACCACCACATCCATCTGACACCCCTCCCTCCCCACCATCACAGTCTTCTCTGGTCTGTGATTTCACCCTTTTGGTGAAGAAATTTTTCCTAATATCCAATCTGAATGTCCCCTGGTGCAACTTGAGGCCATTTCCTCTTGTCCTGTTGCTTATTACTTAGGAGAAGAAACCTTGCTACAACCTCCTGTCAGTGAGTTGCACAGAGTGATAAGGTCTCCTCTCAGCAGAAAATAAAATAACTGAAAGACAGAGCATTGAGATATCTATGTGCATCCATCCATACTTCTTAGTCTGGAACTCAGAACATCCGTAAAGTTTAAGAAAGAATAATACTTGGATTTCTAGCTCTTTGTCCTTTATTTCTTGTAAAAATAGTGTCAAAATGTTATGATGGTAAAAATTCCTGTAAGTACCTTGTATCTGTGACACTGAATTACTTGAAGGGTAATAGTCTTTATACCTGAAAAAACCTTTGAATCCTGGAAGAATTACTAGCATTCTGGCTTTGGAACCCTCATTGTTATGGGCAGAAACAATCCTACATTTGTGTCTTTGGACTTATACGCTAAAGTATTCAGTGTGCATTTCTTTTTCAATCGGCAGAGAATAACTCTTTTACAGAGGTTTGAGTTTAACATCCTGTGCATTAAAAAGTTCTGGATTTTTAAAAATGTCTTTAAAATGTTCAGAGTTATTAACTAGTTTGTCGTTACAGCAAAAGATTGTGCCTGTTGTTGGCTGTGATCTGTTAATATGCGAGTAGCGCTCAGGCATTAGAACTAAATTACCATCCTTGTTTTTCATCGCCCTAGTGATCTTACTTGTGTAGTTGTTTAGGTCAAGTCTGCTAAACTTGAGACTTACAAGTTCTGTTTTTTTCTGCTACGTCAGTATCTAGATTGTCCTAAGAAATAACCAAATTTGTGCACTTCTGAAAGTTTTGAGTTTTCTAATATACTAGAACTAATACACTAGCAGTACAGTGGCAGTGCCTGTCTGGAGGAAAAAGTATGGGTCACTGTAATGTATTTAAGAGTCGTCTTTGTGTGCCAGCTGACAGCAGGCCGAGAATACTGCACTGTGTGTTGTGTGGGTTTGGGGTCTTTTTTGTTGTTATTTTTTTGAAGTGAGACAAGGCTTAAGCATAAGCCGTTTTTTTCCCATGTTCTGTTGCCTATTGTTCAAAGAAAGCTTGGCCGTCCTTATGCAGTATTAAAGCTGATACCTTCTCTTAAGCCTATTCAGTTGTATTGGCTGGAAAAGGAGCAGTGTTGAGGTTTCCATGGATGTCAGAGAGGTGGGATAAAACCCCGTGTCACTAATGTTGTCTGACACACTCTTTATGATCTGAGTAACCCATGTAGTTAGGAATGCATGCTGTTTACTCACCACCTTACATGAACAGAACAGCAGTTTTGTTCACCAAGATGTAGTAAAAGATCTGTTGCAATCTGCATGACTTTCAGACTGCTCGGTAAGAAATAAGAGTTGTTTGGATTTTGAGAAGTATTAGAAGGTTTTGTTTGCTTATTCAGGTACTTTGTAGATAGAGTATTGTAGACTTGATTAAAGTGTTTGGCAAAATATGAAATTACTCTTCCAGCTAGTGTGCATAGTAGACACTGTGAATGATGAAGGTTGCCAGATAGATACTTCACTGAAAAGGAACACCCTTCTTTACATTTGGCTTATAGGGGATTCGGTAATTGCTATGTTTGTGTTGATAAATTCTTGCTCTAAGTATAAAAAAGCTCAACTTCTTTTTTTGAGATAGAAATAACAAATCACACATCCGCAAGTAATGGACTGAAAATTGCAGAAATGCATTAGTTTGTATGTAATTATGATAGTACATGGAATGCTTTTAGCCATTCTAATTTCATTAAAAAATCAGGACAATAATTACTATTTCTTTATTTATATGATGCTTGGCCTTTTGGGGCGACTATATAGTTTTTTTACTTTACTATGCAATGTAGCCATATAAGAATGGTGTATATTACTTAGCAATAACTAATAAACTGAAGAAAAAATTTAAAATTGGAAGGAGCTAAAATATTATCGGTCATGTTGGGAAAAAATGCAGTACTTATTTTTCTTTTCTCTCAGCAGTTGAGGTTTTGCCATAATACTTATAAAGAACTTTTATCTGTAATGGAGGCTAGGGTTCTAATTCATTAAAGTACATTTAAAATTTGTATCCCATCCTTTCTAAAAATATGAGTTGAAAACTAGAACAATTTGGTTCTGGACATCATTGTTAATTTGTTCTTAACTCTTCACTTTTCTAGACTTTTCTATTTTTAGCCATTTTGACAATCACCATCTTATCTACTTCACAAGAATATTATGGAACACTATTCGTAGCTGTATGTGTGAAATTATTTTTTACAGTGCTTTTTATCCAGTAAATGCAAAGGAGGTCAAAACATGAATGTAGATCTATTTGGGAGTTGCCTATGCAAATTTAAATGGAGGGTAGAATGAGAAATGGATCTACCCTGGTTAATGAAATTGAAACTGCAGACCTGCATTTGGCAGGGTTGGCTCATCAGTGTGCTGAGTTGAAATACACCTGCTCTTCAGGAAGTACAGAGAGGGGAGCTGGCAGAACAGAAATGATTAAACTTCTGGGGAAAACATATTCCCTGTACTCAGGCTTTCCCAAATCCTAGCTTTAATTTCACAGTGATGTGGAAGTTTAGTAGACTATCTTTAAAGAAAATTGGCAAAAACACAGGAATGTTAGTTGGCAGTTTGAGGTGAGTTGGTCAGCCCATCTGTTTCTGATTCCTACACACATCAGGACACTTCTATTAACAAATTCCCTGCTGTTGTGGGGAGCAAGGACATTGGTGATACTCTTGATATTGCTAAGATACTTGTGCCAGGAGCATATTTATGTGGGGTTTGATTTTGTTACTACACATTTTATATTTTTTTAATAGTGCTGAAATATTTTATGTGACTTGTAGATGTGTGGTAGTTCGGTGGATCCAGAGTTAATGTTCTGGCAGAAAATTTTGGAATTAATAAGTATATCTTAATTGCCTGAGACTGTGGAAGATCAGTTCAGTGTCCAGATAATCCTATCCAGGCATATATTTCTGAAGAAAGTAGTTGACACTCCTCAGAGCCTCATATGATCTCAATTGCAGTTCATCAGTTTTAAGTCCCTTATGCTCTGCTAAGTCACCGTGTCTTTTCAGCCTGTCTCCCACTCTTCTTCTGTAGGAAAGGAGGAATGAGTCTAAAAAATTGTGTTCTGACTCCATGTAGAAATCACTGCAGTCTTCCATCTCCAGAAGTGTATTTCAGTACTTTTTAGAATGCAAGTTTTATATATTCATGGACTTTGGTATTTGAGTGGCACATACATACTTAGGGAAGTGGCATTTCTGAAACTGTGCAGAGACCTGAGTAACTAAAAGTAGGAGAAGAATGCATGACTTGAACAGAAGCCTTTTGAAAAACATTTGCAAAACGCAGACAGCAATATTCTGCTAATGCAGGCAAGATTGAGGTATAATTTGAATGGAGAATTTTGATCTGGTTTTGAGTGATTTCTTTGTTATTTGATTGACTTTAATACCCGTGAACAGAAATACACACACACGTATGTATGTGCACAGTCACATATCCTTAATAAAGGTAATGCTGAGGAGAGAAAAATAATTGCAAAACTGAGTAATTGCTTTTGCTTTCTCTACACAAGACTGTACAACTAAGTAGCTCTGTGGCAAAAGACAGACATGTGAGAACTAAGAAACTGACAGGATGAATGGGAGAGATTCAGGCTGGGACAGGAAAATAACAGGATAGGACTTAGACTAGTGTTATAAAAGCTCAGTGTGGTAGTCTGTGGGAAGAACTTAAAAGTGAGGGAAAAAGTCTCCTATCACTGAAGGGAAATAGAAGGTGTATGTGCACAGCTGCCACTAAATTGAAAAAAAAAAAGATCATTAGGGAAGGAGAGTCCAATGGAAAGTGCATCTTCACTCTTTGGTATTATAGTAGGACATCTATAAAAATCAGGAATAGCATATAATAAATTTGTGACAGTAATATTTCAGAGTATGGACTGTACTTCATTGTTTTGTTACTGTCCTTTATAGTTCTTGATTTTTTAAAATTACCTTTCTTATTTCACAGCTTG